TAAAACCACACAATGACATGGTAAAATCATAGTATGACATGGTAAAACCACAGTATGACATGGTAAAATCACAGTATGACATGGTAAAACCACACTATGACATGGTAAAATCACACTATGACATGGTAAAACCACAGTATGACATGGTAAAATCACAGTATGACATGGTAAAATCACACCATGACATGGTAAAATCACACCATGACATGGTAAAATCACAGCATGACATGGTAAAATCACAGCACGACATGGTAAAATCACAGTATGACATGGTAAAATCACAGTATGACATGGTAAAATCACAATATGACATGTTAAAATCACAATATGACATGGTAAAACCACACTGTGACATGGTAAAACCACAGTATGACATGGTAAAATCACACCATGACATGGTAATATCACACCATGACATGGTAAAATCACAGTATGACATGGTAAAATCACAGTATGACATGGTAAAATCACAATATGACATGGTAAAATCACAATATGACACGATAAAACCACACTATGACATGGTAAAACCACAGTATGACATGGTAAAATCACACCATGACATGGTAATATCACACCATGACATGGTAAAATCACACCATGACATGGTAAAATCACAGTATGACATGGTAAAACCACACTATGACATGGTAAAACCACATTATGACATGGTAAAACCACAGTATGACATGGTAAAACCACACTATAACATGGTAAAATCACAGTATGACATGGTAAAACCACACTGTGACATGGTAAAATCACACTATGACATGGTAAAACCACACAATGACATGGTAAAATCACACAATGACATGGTAAAACCACACTATGACATGGTAAAACCACACAATGACATGGTAAAATCACAGTATGACATGGTAAAACCACAGTATGATATGGTAAAACCACGGTATGACATGGTAAAACCTGCCTGTGAGGAGGAATTTAGGGCAGGGAGTGGTTCAAGTCCAATTTCAGTTGACTCGTAATGAGAAGTGGGCCTCAGTGTTGTGGGAAACGGTTTGGAAGAGCTCGTTAGTCTGCTGGCATTAATTAGTGCTGGCTTTCTGGCTTGATCATCTGAGTGTTTCTAAAGGCTAGCAGGCATCCAGAGAGCGCTGCCTACTGTCAGACACTACTTCTCAGAGAAAAATATTCATAGTTTCACGTCTGGACTTGTGAGTTCAAGCTGCGTTATGGGTTTTCTGCTGTTCTTTATTAATAGATTTAGTTCATTTTTAAACTTTAGAGACTTTTTTTTCTTTTTTCATGTCACGAGTGTCAAAAAGAAGCTTTGTACTATATTTAGACCCATCTTCTGCTGCTGGGACAAAACCTTACTGAGTTCTAATTTAAAATAATTTGATGCATCATTTCATTATGTCATCATGATTCGACTGTTCTTTGTTCTGTCAGCAGTGTAAACACAGTTTAACAGTCGTTCTCATTTTAAAACAAACACAAATAGAAGCTGTGTCGTCTTTTGGTTGGTTCTTAAAAAAGGACCATTTATTTTGTAGCAGTTCGTGTCAGCGGAGTCTCAGAGTAGGTACCTCGTGGTAACACTAAACTATTTTCAGCAATCTTATCTCTTGCCTTCCGGGTTTTTTTTTCAGGGAAAAAAAGAATAGAAGATGCCCCGTGGCTCTGTGTGAAACTACAAGAACTGAAGCCTCGAAGTGAAGGAAACTGGAGGAAACGGAGCTGCACAGCCTGGCAGGTGAGCCAGGTTTCCTTTTTCTTATCTTCTGGGTTAAACATTTAATCTCCCTGAGACAACAGCTTCAGTTTGTCATTAATCCTGTTTGCACTGAAAGCCTGTTTCCTTTCAGTTTTCATAAAAAAAATAATCCCACTGTTTGCTAAGGATACCTGTGTGTGAGTGTGTCTGTTCTGATTTCAGCTTGTCCAGTTAAACTGGCTCATTCTGACATTTGACAAAATGTTTTCTATGGTGAAAGCACAGATAAACGGAGGTAACAGAGATAAACAGGTCTAGTGCAAGCTGAAGTAGCATAAACTTATAAATAAATTCAGTCAAATGAGTGTAACGTAATGAAATCCACCTGAAGCTTTAATGCAGTTTAGGTAATTGCTTTTTGATATTTTCTCCAAATAATTTCAAACTGCCAAAGATTGTTGTGTTTACACAACAAATGAAGCTGTGAAGGTGTACTATGGCTCAGTGGTTAGCACCGATGCCTCACAGTCCTGGGTTTGATCCCTGGTTCAGACCTGGGGTCTTTCTGTTTGGGTGTGCATGTTCTCCTCATTGTGGGTTTTATCCGGGTCCTCCGGCTTCCCCCACAACACAAAAACATGTACAACAGGTTGCCTTCAGGCCGCCTTGAAAAAGAGACCTGTGATCTCAGTGGGATTTTCCTGGTTAAATAATGCTAAAACTAGATAATAAAACTTTTCTTATGCTTGCTTTGGCATCAGCTTACAGGATTATTTTTCTAGTTTTTGTCCTAACATGTATTTCTATCTAGAGGTCAGCCAATAAAAGTTTTCTATAGCTGTTGTCGAAGCTGCTGGCTGATATACAACACTGATTTTTTTATTTTATTTGACAAAATGTATTTTGTATTTAAGAAAATGTAACAATAATGCATCTGTTATCATTGTTTGTAGTACTTGATTTGACACTTTAAAAGCTGAACACTTAAATAAAACAATCTTAATCTGAAGCTTAAATGATGACAAGTGTATTAGGATATTTGAATAATTTAAGTCTCAACTACTGTAAAACTCTGCTAGTACAGTGGAAACTGAATGCATTTCTTCAGCTTGATCCCTGTAATCCAAACTGGATAGATTATTAATTTATTTAGCAGTACATTAATTCTAATTGATCATTTATATTACTTGAAAAATAGTTCCTGATCCTGAGTTTTGTAGTAAAAAACAAAAAAAGATTACCTTCTTGATATTTCCATTGCATAGTTAAAATGCTTAAAGGTTGGGGTTAAGTCTAACCCAACCATGGTGTAGCTTAACTTCATCATCACATATGAGTGGTAGAACATCACAGTTAACTCAGTAACATCACATATGAGTGGTAGAACATCAGGATTAACTCAATAACATCACATATGAGTGGTAGAACATCACAGTTAACTCATTAATTCACTCATCTCTGTTGTTTTTTGTGTGACTTGATCAAACTGATGCAGGAGCTATATTTGATAGCCTCTTGGGTTTCTGAACATTGAGCGTCGATACAGTATGTAATGATTGGCAGTGTATTGTGATGTGTATTGATTGGCAGTGTATTGTGATGTGTATTGATTGGCAGTGTATTGTGATGT